CAGGGCTCCTCAGTCCATGGAATTTACCAGGCAAGAATACTGGAGTGGGTTGCCATTTCCTTCTTCACAGGATTTTCCCAAACTAAGGATGGAACCCACATCTCCTGCTTGGCAGGTGGATTCTTTACTACTGAGTCACCTGGGAAACCCCATCCTTTGAAGACACTGAATTAAATACTGCACAACAAACTCATCTTCAAAAACTTACAGTTCATAAATTTCTAGCAAGAAACATATAAAAGTTTCTCCTTTAAACATTTTCCAATTTATGCCAGTAAATCTTAATATATTAGTAAATAAATCTTAGTATATTAGTGAGCAAAAAAATTATCTTAATACATTTTATATCATTTTAAAACTACCTTTAATACAGCACATCACCCACACCTTCATAAACCCTCCAAAGTAAACAAGAGACTATCCGATTTCTCTCAAAAAAAAAAAAAAAACCTCTACAGAAAAAATACTCTGGGCTCTAAAAGGCAGTATCTTCTATTACACAGGTAGATCTTGTCACATTGGCTGTAAAGAGGTAAAAGGGATTAATTAAAACCTTCAAGGAGTATTAAATATTAACACTTATTCAAACAAGAAGTCATAGAACAAAATTAAAGTTAGGAGATCTCATCCACAAGTGTGGCTTTAGTTCTGGTCCATACGTATATAGATAACTTACAATTTGAAATGTCTAGCCCAGATCCCTCCTCTGATCTCCAAAGCCAAACCCATAATCTTAATACCCATCCCAACCATCTCATCACCCTACCCCACAGCCACCACTTCTACCATAAACTTGGCCATTTTTCAATATTTGGTACATCCATTTATCCAATAACCTGACACCTCCTTGCCCTCGTGTTCCACATCTAATCCACTATTAGTGTAATAATAATGTAAAATTAGTGTACCACTGTGATTATTTTACTTCTTAAATACCTCTTCAATCAGTCTACTTTTCTACATCCACCAACATGTCCCTCTTCCAAAATATCATCAGTTCCCAGCAATACTGCAATGACCTCCTAATTAATCAGCATCCTTGACTTATTATTGCTGCTCCCCACCCCACCCAGTTATCAAAGCTGTTCTCTACTCTGCTACAAAGTGATCTTCCTGAAACACAAATCTTATCCTACATTTCTTTGTTTAAAAACATTTCAATGACTTCCATGGATAAAGCTTCCAAATCCGTGACATAGAACAGAGAGCCTTGAAGTTTGTCATCAACCCATACTGGCTCCAGGTTCCTTGAAAATGCCATACTCTCTTACCTACAGTACCTTTCCATGTGCCTTTCCCTCAGCTGGAAAGCTTCTTTTCCCTTTCACTAGTCAATTGTGATCTGTCTTCAGATCTCAGCTTGTCGTAACTTCCTCAGGGAAGCCTTCCCCAACTTCATGGACAGAATAGATTCCCTGACAAAACAGATTCCCTTACTAAATGTTTCCAAAGCACGTTAGGACATACCATTTTTACTTTTCTTTCTTGGACCAACTGAATTTTGTCTGCCTCCCTCTTTAAAGTGCATAAACTAGAAAAAAAGAAACAAAAACAGAAGAACAATCTTCCGTTCATCAAGATTCCACAGCATAAACCATAATGTGTGGCCCATGATGAATGCTCAATACATGCTCAATGAACTGAGTACCAACAGGAATATTTACCAAGCAAAAACAACTATTATTCTTTAATGATCAATAGCCTACAGCAATAATGTCCAGTAGAACTTTCTGTAATGATGAAATTATTCTACATTTGCACTGTCCAATTACAAAGCCACTAATCAAGCATGGCTACCAAGCACTTTGAAAAGTGGTTGGTACAACAGAGGCACTGAATTTTTAATTTTATTTGATTTTAACAAATTAAGATGTAAAAAGTCAAACATTGTTATGACTACTGTTATTAAACAGCACAGGTTGAACTGGAGGAATCAACCTGCCTGACTTCAGACTATACTACAAAGCCACAGTCATCAAGACAGTATGGTACTGGCACAAAGACAGAAATATAGATCAATGGAACAAAATAGAAAGCCCAGAGATAAATCCACGTACCTATGGACACCTTATCTTCGACAAAGTAGGCAAGGATATACAATGGAAAAAAGACAACCTCTTTAACAAGTGGTGCTGGGAAAACTGGTCAACCACTTGTAAAAGAATGAAACTAGAACACTCTCTAACACCATACACAAAAATAAACTCAAAATGGATTAAAGATCTAAATGTAAGACCAGAAACTATAAAACTCCTAGAGAACATAGGCAAAACACTCTCCGACACAAATCACAGCAAGATCCTCTATGACCCACCTCCCAGAATATTGGAAATAAAAGCAAAAATAAATGGGAACTAATGAAACTTAAAAGCTTTTGCACAACAAAGGAAACTATAAGCAAGGTGAAAAGACAGCCCTCAGATTGGGAGAAAATAATAGCAAATGAAGAAACAAAGGATTAATCTCAAAAATATACAAGCAACTCCTGCAGCTCAATTCCAGAAAAATAAATGACCCAATCAAAAAATGGGCCAAAGATCTAAACAGGCATTTCTCCAAAGAAGACATACAGATGGCTGACAAACACATGAAAAGATGCTCAGCATCACTCATTATCAGAGAAATGCAAATCAAAACCTCAGTGAGGTACCATTACACACCAGTCAGAATGGCTGCTATCCAAAAGTCTACAAGCAATAAACGCTGGAGAGGGTGTGGAGAAAAGGGAACCCTCTTACACTGTTGGTGGGAATACAAACTAGTACAGCCACTATGGAGAACAGTGTGGAGATTCCTTAAAAAACTGGAAATAGAACTGCCATATGACCCGGCAATCCCACTCCTGGGCATACACAGCGAGGAAACCAGATCTGAAAGAGACACGTAAAAAAAAAAAGAGAGAGAGAGAGAGACGTGCACTCCAGTGTTCATCGCAGCACCGTTTATAATAGGCAGGACATGGAAGCAACCTAGATGCCCATCAGCAGACGAATGGATAAGGAAGCTATGGTACATATACACAATGGAATATTACTCAGCCATTAAAAAGAATTCATTTGAATCTGTTCTAATGAGATGGATGAAACTGGAGCCCATTATACAGAGTGAAGTAAGCCAGAAAGATAAAGACCAATACAGTATACTAACGCATACATATGGAATTTTAAAAGATGGTAACAATAACCCTATATGCAATACAGAAAAAGAGACACAGATGTACAGAACAGACTCTGGGACTCTGTGGGAAAAGGCGAGGGTGGGATGTTTAGAGAGAACAGCATCGAAACAAGTATACTATCAAGGATGAAACAGATCACCAGCCCAGGTTGGATGCATGATACAAGTGCTCAAGGCTGGTGAGCTGGGAACAACCAGAGGGATGGGATGGGGAGGGAAGTGGGAGGGGGGATCAGGATGGGGAACACATGTAAATCCATGGCTGACTCATGTCAATGTATGGCAAAAAACACTACAATATTGTAAAGTAATTAGCCTCCAACTAATAAAAATAAATGGAAAAAAATAATAAACAGCACAGGTCTATATAGTCTTTTCTGCCTTTTCAATTGCTGCATCTTGTTTCACTCTACCCCACTGACACCTTATCTAAGGAGCAGTCTTGAACAATAAACCCTAGACTTCTTTTTGTCCCCACAATGTTCCTCTCACAGAATAGAAACTTAATGTCTGATGACTAGATATTTGAATTGTATACCTTTCCTTTCTCCCTGAAAAATAATCAATTAAATGCAGTTATTTTCAAAATGACCTTCAGGAGCCAGCCATAAAATCAGCTCTTTCTAGTTTTCCAGACTGTTGGGAGCTGCAGCATAATAAGCCTCCTGCATTTCTAAGCCCCTCCTACCTGCTGGGGACCTCTTTAAGGCTACAAAGAAGCTGAAAAAGCACAATTGGCCAGAAGTCTCTAGAGATTACTATTCGGGTAGGTACTGAATAGGGAAACAATGAAAACAGTGACAAACTTTATTTTCTTGGGTTTCAAAATCACTGCAGATGGTGACTGCAGCCATGAAATTAAAAGATGCTTGCTCCTTGGAAGAAAAGCTATGACCAACCTAGACAGCATAGTAAAAGGCAGAGACATCACTCTGACGAAAAAGATCTGTCTGGTCAAACTTATGGTTTTTCCAGCAGTCATGTAGGGATGTGAGAGGTGGGCTATAAAGAAAGCTGAGCGCCGAAGGATTGATGCTTTCGAACTGTGGTGTTGAAGAAGACTCTTGAGAGCCCCTTGGACTGCAAGGAAATCAGTCCTGAATATTCATCGGAAGGACTGATGCTGAAGCTCCAACACTTTGGCCACCTGATGCGAAGTACTGACTCCTTAGAAAAGACCCTGATGCTGGGCAAGACTGAATGCAGGAGAAGGGGACGACAAGGGGATGAGATGGTTGGATGGCACCACTGACTCAGTGGACATGAGTTTGAGCAAGCTCCGGGAGTTGCTAATGGACAGGGAAGCGTGCAGCAGTCCATGGGGTCGCAGAGTCGGACACGCCTGAGCGACTGAACTAACAGTCGTACAGAATCGACACTGCTCCCTCAAGCGGAGTCCCGCCCTTCAGGCAGATAATCTCCGGTCTCCCCAACAACAGAGTCCCTGGGCAACCATTCTCTCCTTTCCTACACCGCTCTTTTCCACTCCCTCAGGTGATAAGCCCCACCTCCTCCCAACAGCGTTTCTTAAACCACCATACTGACTCCTCTAAACATCTGGTGTAATTCAAAAAGCCCGGGGCCTGGGACGGGGTAACAAGAGAGATCTTTGCCTAAAAGGACGGGAGACTTGGAGTACTCGGCAAGAGTCGGGGCCCAGGAAGCGACAAGGCCCCTAAAAGACTTCAAAAGCAGATGTACTATTGTCAGGCACCGTGACGGGCGGCGAGCAGGAGGCAGACGGCAGGGAACAGGCAAAGCGCTCAGGGACCACCCGTTACCCTGCCCGCCGGCGGCCCATACCTCTCCCCGGCCCAGCTCACCTTCCCGGGGCTGGTCAGCTCGCTCTCCGAATAGCGGTGCCTCGGGAGAGACGCCTGAGGCAAAGTGGCGCCGGGGTGCGCTTGCAGCCAGGCTTTGGCCTCCTCGTCGTCCTCGTCGTCCGTACTCTCCCGACGCTGGCTCTCGTAGTTAAAATCCGCCTCCGGCTCCCGTCTCTCCTCTTCCTCCATCTCCTCCACCATCACCACCTCGTCCTCGTCCAAGTTCTCCGCCTCCTCCTCCTCCTCCTCCTCGAGCTCTCCGGGCCATGGTAGGTCCTCAGGCTCCATATTGGCGTCTCGAAGTAGGAGGTGGAGGAGGAGGAGGAGGAGGAGAGGGGAGGGAAGGAGGGAGGGAGGGGAAAAGAGACGACTGGCGGTTTGGGCTGCGCGCAGGCGCAGAGACCGCCGACGCCTGGCGCCGGGCCCGGTGTTGGGCGGACAGGGCGGGGCAGGGAGTGAGCGCGCGTTGCTAAGGACGCCGCGAAGGGGCCGGCGGGAAGGCGCGCGGCGCTGAGCTGCGGGCTGGCGAAGCAGACGCCTAGCCCCCGTCACGGGCTGGGGTCTTGCTCACAGTACTGTAAGCTCACAATAAACCCACACAGGGCTCCTGTCCGAATAGGGAAGAATCTAGGCCTCGACTGGGCCGGGCCAAAACTGAATTTTCCCCTGCCCCGAGGGGCAATCAGATTCTGGGACAAACCCAAAATAGTCAAACCTGCAAATTATAAATTTTTCAAAGTTTTCAATGTATGACAGGCTGTATTATGGGCACTTGAACCCAACAGTGGAAAAGTGTCAGAGGCAGTGGAGGGGTTAAGAACTGGACTCTGGTATCACAAAGATGGGAGCTTGAATCCTAACATGGCCGCTAACAGCAGTGAGACTAACCCTCTTTGAAATGAGAATAATAGGCCCTTGCACAGGATAGTTGTGATAATTAAGGGAGATAACATGTGAAGCGGTAGTGGTAGGTATTATTTGTTGACTACTGAATAGTAACATTAAATGCTTACAGATTTGTGAGACAAGTGTTATAAACATTTTGTATTTTAAGAATCTAAGGCTGAGAAGAGTAACTTGGCCAAAGTCTCTTACCTTATGCCATCCCAGGTCTTCTGTAAGTCTAGTAATTGCCTTTGCCCAGACCTACAGCTAATAAAGAATAAAGTAGAAATACTGATAATACATATGTTTGGGGGTTAGTCAATGATTTTTAAATGCTTTAAAAACAAAGATTTCCCTATCCCTTAAGAACACCTATAAAATGAATGGCAAATTAAAGACTCTTGAGATCCCTTGTTATTATCTAAGGAGACAGACACAATTAAAGTGAAGTCCAGCAAAAATTCTTCACGGTATTGTAACAGGAGGGGAAGGGGCAGGGCACAACCAACAGTGGTGGCATAATTTAGGGACTTTGCCAAGAATGAAGGTCCTATCTGCCAATGACACAATCCTGGGGAAATTATAAAGATAGAATATGGAGGCCCAAAGCCTCAGGACTCCTTGGAATACCTCTAAATGAACTTTGAGTACATATAAGTACAATTATTCTTACGGTGGGTTCGGGCTTTTCCTTGCTGGAGAGCTATGGCTGTAATCATAGGGAAAAAATTGCTTTATTTTATATTTTGACTTGAGAAATCTCAATGTACCTCTTCAGTAACAGAATCACACATTTTGCTGAATCTGTTATTAAGTAATTCTGTAAAACTTTACCATTTACCTAGAAACCCCACTGTCCTTATCATCCACAAATGTCAGGAAAAATAAAGGAAACTAGTGGAATTATAAAACTAATTATCAAATCTCTCAGAAATCTTCAAACTTCCAAGGCCCAAAGAAGAACTATTTACCTTGATAGCAATAACATGATCCTCTCTAGGATATATGCATCTCCTTCTGAATTAACGATAGGCTGCCTCCTGTATTTAGGAACTACTTTCAATACTAAATTCTACCTTGATACAATCTGATATGACTACTTGCTCCAGGAGCCCACATAATAATTCCTGCTTTATCAACTATAGGTAGAATCTGCATTTCCAAAGCATCTACCTAAGTAACTTTTGCATGACCTGAAACCTGGAAATTTGATCTTTCTGAAAAAATATCAGAAGAAAACTTCCCTTGAACCTCAATGGAAAAGACCTTATTAGATACTGCTAACAAGTGGACCAGCAGTGATATTCCAAGGCATTGATCTTGGGTTCATGTTTCCCAGCCAAAAATATAAGCATCATTTTTTCCTGACTACAGGACGTCCATTCCATTAGAAGACCTCAAACTGAAGATTCTTGGGAATTCTCCAGAATCTGCTGATTATAGAAGTGGACAGCTTGTGCCCATGACAACAAAACAAGATTAATCTTCTGATTCTTCAGCATCCTTCACCCTACCACAATCTTGCCTATTATTATACTTTGACAACTAACAAAATGATTTCTCAATATGATCTACCTTATCTGCATCTTTTTACTTTTGACTCCCTGTACTTTTCTACTGCTTAAGAAAAGCAATACTTGTGGTATATATTTCTCAAACCATAGCTATGCTCTTAATTAAACTGGATGTTGACAAAATTCAGTAGCTGTACTTTTAAACACTTCATAGTGTAGATTTTCTTCTATAGGCCCCTTCTGGTTCTTAAGCTTTTCTCATGTAATTAATCCCAAACTTCAATCCTGTAAAAATTAGACCTTGATCCACATCTCAACAAAATGTTTCTCTGAGGGTGAAGGTCATTCAGTCATGTCCAGCTCTTTGCGACCCCATGTACTGTAACCTTCTGGGCTTCTCTGAGGGTATTACAACCTTATTAGAAAAATCTAGCTCTTCAGGAATGGCAACTAATATTGGGGCCATCCTTGCTCCAATAGTTTGTTCTCTTCAGAAATACTGCAGCCCACTTTGCAGAAACCTATTTTACTTAACCAAGAAACCTGCCCATCTTGAGGGACAAACTACTGGCTTGCTCCTGATATACTTAACACTTATACTCCCAGTATAGTCTGTACCCCCACTACAGTACTGCTTCTTACATGAACAGCAGGCTTATACACTCCTACTAACTTACCCCGTGTATTGAATCTAATTGTTAGAGGTTTTCAGGTGCTTAAAATTACCAGTCCTCCAGTGGCTCATATTTCCCTGAGAAAGATACCCAGAAACCAAGCAAATGAGGCAAGCAGAGACTCACAGACTTCTTGGGAGAACTCCCAGGAGGGAAAGCTGACTTTCTCTGTGTATGTCCTCAGTGAATGAAATTCCCACAGCAAAATTAATACAACTGAAAAATATGCTGCAAACATTTTTCTCTGACTTTGTCATTCAGACTTAGTGACTGAAAAGTCATGTCTGACTCTTTGCAACCACATGAACTGCAGCACGCCAGGCTTCCCTGTTCTTCACTCTCTCCCGGAGTTTATTCAGACTCATGTCCATTGAGTCAGTGATGCCATCCAACCATCTCATCCTCTGTTGCCCCCTTCTCCTCCTTCCCTCAATCTTTCCCAGCACCAGGGTCTCTTCCAGTGAATCAGCTCTTCATATCAGGTGGCCAAAGTATTAGAGCTTCAGCTTCAGCATCAGTCCTTTTAATGAATATTCAGGACTGATTTCCTTTAGGATTGACTGGTTTGATCTCCTTGTAGTCCAGGGGACTCAAGAGTCTTCTCCAGCACCATAGTTCAAAAGCATCAATTCTTCGGCGCTCAGCCTTCTTTATGGTCCAACTTTCACATCCATACATGACTACTGGCAAAACCATTGCTTTAACTAGATGGACATTTTTTCATCAAAGTGATGTCTCTGCCTTTTACTATGCTGTCTAGGTTGATCATAGCTTTTCTTCTAAGGAGCAAGCCGTCATTAATTTCATAGCTGTAGTCACTGTCCACAGTGATTTTGGAGCCCAAGAAAATGAAAATCTATCACTGTTTACATTGTTTCCCCATCTATTTGCCATGAAGTGATGGGACCAGATGCCATGATCTTAGTTTTTGAATGCTGAGTTTTAAGCAAGGCAACTTTTTTACTCATGTCTTTAACCTTCATCAAGAGGCTCTTTAGTTTCCTCTTCACTTTGTGCCATTAGTGTGGTATCTGAGGTTGCTGATATTTCTCTGGACAATCTTGATTCCAGTTTGTGATTCATCCACCCCGGCATTTCCCATGACTTTAGCAGACATTATAAATGACCAAACTTCTACTTTAGAAGCTCAACCAATTAAATTTGGATACATTAGCCAGAGTTTTTATGGAGAGTCATATAGGCCTTGATTTCCTCATAGCTAGCCACAGGGGAGTTTGTGCTCAGCAATACTTATTCCTGCATCGGTATCCTTCAGGGTAGTAGAACATGGCAAAAAGATAAAACCTAAAACAGAGTCAGCTGAATTATTCTGGGCTTTGTTTTCATTGCCAGGGTTTTATAATCTGGGCCTCTGACTTCCAGACTTACAACGAATGTGAATAAGCATTTTGTTTCTGGTAACTGCTTTTTTTTTGCAGTTGTTCACTATATCCTGTCCAGAGTACTAATGTTACTACTTAGTCATTGTCATAGCATGTGATTCAATAACTTATCCTACAACAGGAGTATGGGGAGAGATTAACCCTAGTCCAACTACAGCCCATTTTCTGACTCAGCAGAATCTCAGCAACAGTAAAAAGAAAAGAAATCTGAATATAATGTATTAACATCCATGGGCTAACTTTTCCTCTGACTCAGATTGTTGGGAAGGGGCACTAAGAAAGCAAACCTCTGGGTCAGGAAACTGGTCTGACACTAATCACTAAGCCTCAGTGCTGTTAGGAGCTGGCCTGTCAGTTGAAGCTATGCCATGATACTTTCCTATTGAGCATAATCAATTTCTTATAACACCAGCATCACACAAGGTCATTCTATGACTGTGATGAGGTGATACAAAAAATAAGACCACTTGTCTAAGCACAGACAGAAACACTGTTACTATGCAAGCCGTAAACATACTAAACATCTGTCTTTCCCAACTAATTTGGGCGACAATTATAGCTCTAGCCTCACTCCATTCTTCTAGATAAGATTCATTAATGTACTCAGTCATAGAATTATTCCCTTGTCCTAACATCGTCTGATTCAGAGTAAAGCCCTGCTTCTCTGAACCTTCCTCAAAATCACTTGACACAAGCCCAAATTCTAAAGATCCTTACATCTTCTTACTGAGGTACTCTTTAATTTCACATGATGTGTGTTCTCCCTTGGTGCAGCAAATAATAAATCCAACTTTGTTTTACCTATAGGTGTG